CCCCCCCCCCCCCGTCATTGCGAATGCTCCTCCCCCTGATTCCCCAAAAAAAAGCCAAATTACCTGAAAGTCTGGCGAGGAACCTGAGCATGCCAGCGGCAGAGTACAGGCACCGCGATGCACTCCTAGCGACGAGAATTCCCCCTGCTACAGGCATGTGTGTACCTCCTTCTTCCCCCGTATCTCAGCGTCTCCTCCTCCCTTATATACAATTATTCTCTTTTAATGTGCCCGAAAGAGCCCTCGAACACACACACACACACTGGGGAACAATCACCAGACCATTCCTCATAAAACAATCATATTAAAAGAAATCTGGCCACAAAAAAAACAAAAAAAAAAAAACTCCAATAAATAATCGATCACTCCGCGCACCTTTCTTAGGAAATGCACCCAAATCTAACGACAAAGTTCTCTCGTTTAGTCCTAATCCCGTCTTCCTTCATTTTCATTCACTACTTTGTGCTTATTTCCTCGATTCATCGGGATAAACCTGGATGAAAATCCTTTCCACCGAGGACTTCAGGTAATCCGTTCCCACATGCATCAAGGTGGCAATTTAATCCGTGTCAATCAACCTGCGATTGACATTACCATTGATTCATCGATTCTCCAGTGATCAATTAATTCCAGATAATGAAAGAAAAAAAAACAAAGGTAATCGAGGGACAATGAATAACAGGGCCCTCGGGGCCCTCCCACAGCGCTTCCCCGCACTCCTCCAACCCCGTGGACAATCAAATATTTGTTATTCAGTGCTAGAATTAATAATATCCTCCCTTCAGCCACGAACTACGTGCAAACTAAGCCCGTGCGTAGACCAGCCACTCCATTGCTTGTTGGACACGAGCGCCATTGCCACATCTCTGCCACTCGACTTCTTTTTATGTTTCTCCTTTATTTTTCTTAATCCTCCTCCCTCCCTCACAATCCGTCAAATCCCACGTCGATTACAGATTCACGTTTTATCAATGAAACACTGTGTGCGCCTCTCATTTGTTCACTCCCTCGTACGAAACAATTAAACCACAACTCGACGGAATAAACTCAGCGCAAAAAAAAAATGAAGAAATCCACAATCAACAAGCACACATTGACTCGCCTCACAAAACTCATCCGGTTCCAAGTGGCTGCAATGTTCCTCGCGTCAAATGATCATTATCATCGGACATTCAGACGTAAAAACCACATTATTCCACTAGTGTTGTTGTTTACGTTATTATCCACCGGGATATCATCCGCGTGTTTACTGTCGCCGGCGTTGTGTTTGCGGGATTATTCGGGGGGAAAAATAAGGGAAAATAAAATAAAAAAAAAAGAAACGTGAAAACGTGTCGGATGGGTTGGAAATGAATAAGAGGGGCTCCGTCCAAGTACACGTCAACGAGCGAACTGAGGTGAGCATCTGCCGCTTGAGGTCTTCTCGCCGTGAGCTGTGCTCTCTGCCGCCTCGTACGTTTTGGCGTTTGAGTTTTGCCTTCTCCTCTCTCTGTGTGCTCGTTAATGGATCGCTGTCTCGGTCTCTCGTGCCTGCCG